CTATCAGACAAGATAGATAGGTCAGAGGATTTCTTTATGGCCAGCTTGTACTCAGAAAGGTGGGGCTCATTATTTCTAGGTTTTATGGCTGGTTTGGTGGGTAGCTGGGTTCTAGTTTCTTTACTTGCTAGGGCAGAGAAAGAGAAGCAGAAGAAAGGACTTGAGAAAGATATTTCTTCTGAGCTACTTTCTGTTATTTCCAAGCATTTCACATGCCAAGCACCCTACTCTGGCCTATCACTTTGGGAGCCTCACCAGCTGGGACAGCTTTATTTCAGGATGTGGATTTCCTGGGCTTATGGTCCAAAAAAAGTCTTTGTATCACCCTGCTGGTGAAATTAAAATATCTTTATATTTTATAGATTTTATTTTTACTTTAGTATAAAATTCCAGGTTGACAGGGTTCTTTTTGTTTATTTTAAAGATTTGGGGTTTTAAAAAATTTTTTTACTATTATCATTTTCTTTTGACTTGCATGGTTTCTAATGAAAAGTCTACGAAAATTATGATTCCTTTGCATGTAATTAATTTCCTTTTGTCTCCTTCTGGTTCCTTTTAAAATTTTCTTTCTATTTTTTACCAATGTCTTTATGATATGCCAGGGTATAGTTTCTTTTATGTCTATCCTTTTTTTTTTTATTGGTTGTTCAAAACCTTACAAAGCTCTTGACATATCATATTTCATGCATTAGCTTCAAGTGAGTTATGAACTCCCATTTTTACCCCAAATACAGATTGCAGAATCACATCGGTTACACATCTACATTTTTACATATGCCATACTAGTAACTGCTGTATTCTGTTACCTTTCCTATTCTCTATTATGTCTATCCTATTTGGGCTTCTTTGACTTTCTTGGATCTGTAGTTTATAGATTTCATCAAATTTGGGACACTTTTGTTCATTATTTCTTTGATTTTTTTTTTTTTTTGGTTCATCCCCATTTCCTTTCTGGGGCTGCAATTATGTATATGTTAGGCTTCTCTATATTGTGTCATAAGTTACTGAGGTTCTATTCATTCTTTTTTCAGTCTTTTTCCTTGTGTGGGTCATTTTGAATTGTTTTTATTGCTGTTTTCAAATTCATTAATTTTTTTTTGCACCACCTAATGTGCATCCATCGAGAGAAATTTTTATCTCTGATATTGTATTTCCCATGTCCAGGTTTTTGTTTGTTTGTTTGTTTTTTTGGTAGCACTAGAGAGTGAACCCAGGGTGCTTTTCAGTGTGCAGTCACACCCCTAGTCCTTTTTATTCTGAGACAGGTCTCACTAAATTGCCCAGTCTGGCTAGAACTTGCAATCTTCCCACCTCAGCCTAGTAGTTGAGATTACAAGCAGTGCTACCATACTTGTCTCCAGAAAATTCTATTTGCTTCTTTTTAAGTCTCTCTGATTTCTCAATCATATTTTCTTTTAAATCCTTGAGAATATTTAGCACATTTACAATACATGTTTAAAGCCTTTCTCTGTTAATGCCATCACTATTATCACTTCTGTATGTGCTTCTGTTGATTGTATGAGATATTTTCCTAGCATTTGACATGTCTCTTAATTTTTGATTGGATGGCTGACATTTTGAATCTGTTGTTGAATCTTAAATTTTATTATTTTTGTGGTCATTATAAAGAATTAGACTTTGTTCCTGCAAGCAGTTAATTTTCTTACTGAGTAGTTTGATCCTTTCAGGGTTTGTTTTTAAGCTTCTGAAGGGTGCATTAATTCACTTTTGATTCCTACAATCTGGGACAAGTTTATCCCACTACTGAGGCATGACACTTGTAGGGTATCTACTGCAAGTTGCGTGTTAGTCAGCAAAGTTTCTGGACTTGGTTGCCTGGAACTCAAAGGACTTCCAGTCCTGTGTGAGTTATTAATTGACTTACTGCTCTACAATAATTGTTCTTTCCTGGCCTTGTGGAGCTTCACATGATATATTCACTCATTTTCATTCAGTTAAAATTTCAGATACTCTTATGCAGGGTTTTGAAGCTCTTTACGTGTTATTCATTCCTATCCAGAATTTTGCTCCCCTAAAAGTGCAACCAACGTGTCCTCTTCCAATTTCTTAAACTCTACTCCTGTCTTCCCAGCTCAGTGAGACCTTAGTTATGAGTTTCCTTTCCCTGAACCAGACTGACAGTTGCCAGTAGGCAAAGAGTCCAGGAGGCATGAGCTGTGCTCATCTTGTTTTGTTTCTCTTCTCTCAGGCAAACAATCCAGAACAGTCTGTTGTCTAACGTCAGAAAAAGAGTTGTTATCTACATGTTGTTCGGTTTTCTAATTTTTGGAGCGGGACATCAACTGCAGACCCATTTTCTCTTCTTGCTGCAAGGTAAGAAGTCTTGTAAATTATTTCTTAAATTGTGTATGTAATGGAAGAAAAGCCTTTTCTTTGTGATGTCCCTGCCTCCTCCCTCAAGAAATGCTGACGGATGATTTTTTTTTTTCAGATGATTTGCGTCTAGCTACAGGGTCTTCCTCTCTACCCTCCCCCTGGCAGCGCGCGGTTTGTCCACGCCCACTCGCTTCCCAGCTCGCGCCTCTGGCTTCTTCCCGCTCCCGCCCTTGGCAGCTGCGCGCTCGTCCCGCGCGCGCCAGCTCACTGCGCCTGCGCGGCGTGCGGACGCCACACGCTCCCGGAAGTGGGAGGTGTCCGCTGGAGTTTGTGTGGCGGCCGCGGGAACGCGAGCTGGGTGGTTTTTCAACGGAGAAAAGCCCAGCTTTGGGGCTTGGTGGGGAGTGAGCGAGTGTGTGCCTCCAGCAGCTGGCTTCTGGCGTGAGAGCCCGCATGGAGGAAGAGCAGAGTGGGCAGCCTAGCGGCGAGGCCGTGGCGCTCTCGCAGCTGGAGGC